TTTTCTGGATTCAGAATGGAAAGGCAAACATATCCGTTTTCAGGAAGCAAAAAAATAAATCAATCAAAAGAGCAGAGCCCAGAAGGGCTGATTGTTATGAAGCCAGCAAAACCAATTTTGTAGTTCATCCTTTATTGCTTGAACTGCTTGTTTTATTTGGGGAGTTGGGAAATGGTAAAGAAATTTCAGGCGTAGAGAAGATGTATTTTATATCAAAATATATCTATTTTTTTCTGGAGAAAGATTCTGGTGCCCTCCCTATTCTTTCATTTTTCAGGAGAATTGAAGATGCAAAAATGTGAATTTCTATAAGAGTGGAGTAATTAGTATATATGAAGCATAAAGTATACACTTTTAATCTAGTTTATTCACCTGTGGTAGGTGAGTTTTAAAAAGGGATATAGCAGTGGTTCTCAACCTGTGGATCCCCAGATGTTTTGGCCTACAACTCCCAGAAATCCCAGCCAGTCTACCAGTTGTTAGGATTTCTGTGAGTTGAAAGTCAAAATATCTGGGGACCCACAGGTTGAGAACCACTGGGGTAGAAGAACTCCACATTTCTTTAAAAATGTTGGTTTCTCCACTGCCATTTAAAATATACATATGATAGTATTGGGAACGGGAGGTAAGAGACAATTATTTTTTTCTGGCAACTCAAATCCTGCCATTGCCATGGAATTTACAGCTATGAAGGTATTAACTGTGTTGGTAGTTAGAAAAAAACTTCAAATAAATGAAGGGTTTTTTTAAAAAGTCACTCCGAAGACTTCTTTAATGAGAAAAGGTTATATTTTTATATTAACCAATACATTAAAAGGAACAAAAAAGTATTTAAAGAAAAGAAGTAAAGATATCAGAGAAAAGGCAATAATCACAAAAGAATTTACTTCCAGCCTTATACATAACTATATAGAATAACTTATCTCATTATATTTCCTATTCATATATATTTTTAACTTTTCCAAATCTACTAATTACCAGAGCCTACCATTATCGGTCTTTCAAAAATGCCACCAGGGAGTTTTCTGTAATCCGTGTTATTAATTTGTCCTCGGCCAAGTCCATCTGTTTCATCAACTAGTTCTCATTCGTTGACATTCATCTCTGTGCATACAGTAATCTTGCTGTAATAGTTCTATAGTGCAATAATTTTCTTTTTCTTCTTTTTTTAAAAATAGTTTTTATTAAATTTTTAAATATACAAAGATAAAATCACGTGTCTTGTTTATAAGCATTAAATAGGAAAAAGAAAAGATTAGAAAAAAAAGGAAAAGAACAAAAAAAACCAAAAAAAATTTCAATACAATTTTTGCAATAATTTTCAATACAGTTGGGGCTCAGCAAGCAGCAGAGGATTTTTGTGAGGATTTCTCTGACATGTGTGACATGACGGAGGATGAGGGGTTTGCTGGGTTGCTAATGATGAGTTTGTCAGTGCAAAAAAAAAAAGAATTGCAGACAGTTCAAGAAGATGTTTTGCATTCTTGTGATCATTCCCAGACAACCAGGGAAAGTGAAACCAATTCTTTTGGGAAATGACCTTCAGCCAATGAGGAGTTCTCCCAAGAAGTCAGATTAGGTTTGGAAATGGAGGAAGTGAAAAACAGACTAATTACTAGACATTCTGAGAGAATCCGCGAGAAGAGCTTGAAGCCCAGGTGTGTTCGGCATGACCTTATGGCTACTTAGCTAGGCTTAAATTAGGTGGTGTTGGCCTTATGCTTCTCAGAGAAGACAATGTTGCCAAAGAATGTCTCTCCTGCTGTCTCTGCTCTCAAGTTCATGTTTCAAGTATCTTCAGATTTCTGTTCTGGTTCATGTCTTTGTTTCCTGGAAGGATTTAGCTTGGGAAAGTTCCTGTGATCTAGTTTCTGGATTCATGTTTGAATTATCATTGTGGACGTTGACAGTCTTACCTTTATGTACTTTACCTTTTTAGATTATTGCTATTTTTGCATTAGCTATTCTTTTTTTTATTTTTCTTTATTGTATTATTAACAACTATTTGAAATACATTTATCTTTACATTGCTTTAGCTTCAATACATTTTTTCTTTCCACCCCTTAACCTTTGCATTAGCTATTCTGTTGACCCTTTTGAGAAACTGCCTTTCCCCCCTTTTTTACCTGCTTTCCTCAATAAATCTTCTTAGATAGAACTTTTGGACTTGTGTGTGGTGCTGGGTTAAAAGGTGTTTCAGTGCTAGAGTGCATGCAACAAGTACCTCTTCTCCATGTGATCTGTCCTTACAGGAACAATTCATTGCCCCACCCCAGCCATTCCACAGATATATAAACCCATTGTCCTATTTCCAACAGACCTCACCTCTGAGGATGCTTGCCATAGATGCAGGCGAAACGTCAGGAGAAATGCCTCTAGAACATGGCCCTATAGCCCGAAAAAACCCACAAGAACCTAGTGATTCCAGCCATGAAAGCCTTCGACAATACAAGGAACAATTCAGTTTTTGATTGGGTATTAATGTCCAAAAATACCTATATCCAATTATGTATTAGATTCCAGATTTTTTTGGCTTTACCACAAGTGCACCACATATAGTAGAATGTTCCCACCTATTGTTCGCATTTCCAACATACACAAGAAACCCTTTTTTACATTTTGGCCTTTTTTTAATGTGAAATATCAACAATACATCATCTAGTAATAATCTTCCTTAACACAATGTACATTTGGGTTGTTGTAGGTTTTTTCGGGCTATATGGCCATGTTCTAGAGGCATTTTCTCCTGACGTTTCCCCTGCATCTATGGCAAGGATCCTGAGAGGTAGTGAGGATACTTGCCATAGATGCAGGCGAAACGTCAGGAGAAAATGCCTCTAGAACATGGCCATATAGCCCGAAATAACCTACAACAACCCAGTGATTCTGGCCATGAAAGCCTTCGACAATACATAATGAACATTTTATTCCATTAACTAGATTTTTCCCATTGTTCCAATTGTATCCAAAATTTTGTGCCCACTTTACCATGCAGTCATTGGTATGTTCCTCTTTCAACTGTGTTTTTCACCACAAGGTTATAAATCTAATCCAGGGGTCCACAAACTTTTTAAACTGAGGGCCAGGTCACAGCCCCTCAAACTGTTGGAGGGCCGGATAATAATTTGAAAAAAACATGAATCAATTCCTATGCACACTGCACATATCATATCTTGTAGTGCAAAAAAAACACTTAAATGCAATACAATAATTAAAATGGAGAACAATTTTAACAAGTATAAACTTATTAGTATTTCAGTGGGAAGTGTGGACTTGCTTTTGGCTGATGAGATGGGATTGTTGTTGTTGTTGTTGTTGTTGTGTGCTTTCAAGTCGTTTCAGTCTTAGGTTGACCCGGGTAAATGACCTTGGAGGGCCATATCCGGCCCCTGGGCCTTAGTTTGAGGACCCCTGATCTAATTAATCAGATGTTCATCATCCATTCATAATTGCAACCATAGCTAATGGTTATTGGTAAATGTATCTATCACAATTTGTTTATAGTCGTTCAAAAAACATCCAAACTTGTATTAAAACAAATGAATTTTATCACATGACACTTTCCTTTCAAAATGATCAAGATGATCTCCAGAAGAAAATGTAGCTTCTCGTCCTCATTATTTTTGAAGCTGAAGCTTACATTCACCTGCATTGAGGCAAACTCTATATTTTATATCATTAAACATTCTACACAAAATATATTGCAGAAGCTAACTCTTGTGATAAAGGATGACAGATAAAATGGCAAGCTGTAAGACATGTCAGATATAGGAACTAAGTTGAAATAAACAACATTTTGAAGAAATAAAAATCTTATGGCTGTTTATTGACTGATATATTTTATTTGTCATAATCTTTCATGAATTGTAGCTTACTTTATCAGATGCAGCCATGCCATACTAAATCTGCTTAGCTTGTCATTAAAGGTGCTGAAATGGTTTATCCTTTAAGCTTCTGGGTTTTTTTTGGTGAAAAAGAGGTGAGACTTGGCTGTGAAGCCGAATCAGTAGGTGACAATTTGGGTTTGCACCTTGAATAGAACTTTTCTATTTCTTTGCGGAAGGATCAAAATTGTATTGATTTTGCAATTTTCTTGTTGAATATGTAGGTTAAGGAATCTATATAAATAAAAATGTAATGTTCGTTTGTGGTATTCATAGAACTCAAAAATCCCTGGATGAAACGGCACCAAATTTGGACACAAGACACCTAACAACCCAATGTATGTCCACTAAAATATATATATTATTTTGTCATTTGGGAGTTGTAGTTCCTGGGATTTATAGTTCACCTACAATCAAAGAGCATTCTGAACTCTATCAATGATGGAATTGAACCAAACTTGGCACACAGATCTCCCATGACCAACAGAAAATACTGGAAGAGTTTGGTGGGCACTGGCCTTGAGTTTGGGAGTTGTAGTTCACCTACATCCAGAGAGCACTGTGGACTCAAACAATGATGGATCTGGACCAAACTTGGCACAAGCACTCAATACGTCCAAATATGGAATTTGGGGGAAATAGACCTTGACATTTGGGAGTTGTAGTCACAGTTCACCTACAATCAAAGAGCATTCTGAACCCCACGAACGACAGAATTGGGGCAAACTTCCCACACAGAACCCCCATGACCAAGAGAAAATACTTAAGGCCATCCAATCCAACTCCCTTCATCAGGGCAAGAAAACGTAATCAAAGTCCTCCTGACAAAGAGCCATCCAGCCATAGATAGAGATAGATAGATGGTTAGATATGATACATACACAGAGATATATAGTATCATAGATTTGAAAGGGACCCATAAAGAAGGACAATATGTTGCATGTTCCAGGGTATAAAGTAATGACATAGATTAGAAACCAGCACTTTCTCATTACTTTATTTTCCAGATCACGACTGGGCCACAGCAACGCATGGCAAGGGACAGCTAGTCTATAATATAATTATTAAATTATTAGAATAGCTCACCACTTCCGTTTTCTTTTTGTTTTATCTTAGAGCCCAGGCCGAAGCACCATCATCCGTGAAACATGATATGAGGGCAGACTCTGGTGAGAAGATGAAGAATGGAGAAGAAGCCGTGAATGAAGAATGCGATGATAGGAAAGCTGTAGAGTCAAGTGATGAGGATGTTCCTGCAGAAGGGAAGAAGAAGAAACGCTCTGGATTTCGAGACCGTAAAGTATGTATACTTCTTGCACAGGATATTCTCAGTTAAACTGAATAAAACCCCATATTATCTGAATTGGGTTGTGGTCCAGCTTACCTATCCAAACGCATCTCCCTCTATGAACCATCTTGGAGATTAAGATCTTCTGGGGAGACCCTGCTCTCAGTCCCAGCTTCTTTGCAGGTGCGGTTGGTGCGGACTAGAGATGGGGCAATCTCAGTGGTGCCCCCTCGACTGTGGAACTCCCTCCCTAGTGACATCAGATTAACCCCCTCCCCGTGACTTTTAGGGGAAAAAAAATAGAAAACTTGGATGTGGGACCAAGTGTTTGGATGAAGTGAAATATGTGAACATTGAATGGTACAATGATAACTGGAATGGCCTGGACTATTTATTTATTTCCTATATTTATACCCCGTACTTCTCCCCCCACGGGGGGGGGGGGGACTCAGGGCAGCTTCACAAATATACTATACGGTATCCTCATAATAAAACAATCAACAATACATTAAAATATAAAATATATTTTACATTAAGGTAATGTAAAGTTAAATTAAAAATGTATGTAGAGGATTCTATAAGACTCTAGACAAGGAAGAAGTGGATGTAAATTAAGAATCTATGATATCTTTCTATGTATTATTTAGATAGTAGACTGTGACCCCTTAATAGAAATATATTATGAGATAAATGATTATAGAACATTAATAGATAGAAAGTATTGCACTATATGCAACAAACACTTGCAAATGTATGTTTACTTAGATAAAATAAAAATAAAAATATATAAAAGATATTAACAATAATTTAAACAATTGATTAACACACACCTATTAAAACCAGAGTCTAAAATTCAGTCCGGGTTAAATCATTGCCATAAATATTAAAATCCTGTTTCACTTACTGCTCACTAGGGCTGGGCGGTTTCGTTCATTAATTTCGTAATTCGTTATTAATTCGTATTTAAATTAGCTTACGATTCGATATTGAGCCAGTTTGGAATAGTGTGAGGAGTAAATTAGATTTGAAACAATTTTTAAAATTTATTTCGTAATTATTTTGTTATTATTTCGAAATTATTTCGTAATTATTTTCGCATGTCTGGTGCAAGTTTTATAGTTGTTGTTTGTTTTATCACACCAACAGTCAACAACAGAGGGAGAGGGAAGCTTCAGAAGTTCCCCCTGTCCCATTTGGAGGTTTTTTTAGCATATTGCGCAATCGCGTCCGCCATTAACGAATCAATTCGAAATTAACGAAATTTCGTAAATAACGAAACGTTGAAATCTCAAAATTTCGGAAGTATTTAGAATTTGGAAACACTAGTGCTCCCTGGAAACGAATTGAGTTTAGAAACAATTTTTTCCGTGGTTACCCAGCCCTACTGCTCACTAATCAAATGCTTGGTCCCAAAGCCAGGTCTTAATTTTTCTTCTAAAAGACAGGAGGGAGGTGGCCATTCTGATGTCTCTAGGGAGAGCATTCCATAGGCAGAGGGCTACTGATGAGAAGGCCCTGTCCCTCGTTCCCTTCAAATGTGTTTGTGGCTATGATATTGGATTATGTGATTTTAATAATTTTAATGTGGATATGTTTTAGCAGGTGTTTTAATGTATATATATATTATTTGCTAGGTATGTATTGTATGTAATGTATGGCACTGAATTGTGTCTTTGTGTGCCGCTCTGTGTTCTCTTCGAGGTTGAGAAGGCTGAGATATAAATATGGCAAATAAATAAAGAAATAAAGAAATTGTAATGTGGACTCAGATATTCCAGTTCAAAGCAGATTTTGTAGGTTATTCTGCCTTGAGATTCTGGGTTATATGGCTGTGTGAAAGGGCCCCGAAATAGTCCCAAATGGGGTTGGGTTTTTGTCTCTAGAGGAGATGCTCCAATCTTTTAACTACTGTGAAAACCCTTGACCACACCTTTTCCATCTCCACAATTATCCTTTTTTGGGTGAACAAAATTGATATTCCAGATGTAGTTCCATTTGTATAAGGGCAATATAATATTGACAGGATTTTTTTAAAAAATAGAAGCCTCTCATTGGTTTGACATTTTTGTTGAACTGTTGTCCGAAACTCAAAGATCCTTTGTCACTTGCTGCTAGTTCAGAACCCATAAGTTCAGATCCCATGATTCTCTATGTGAAGGTAGTTTTTTTGGTCCCAGTATGCATCCTTTTTTTTTTTTACGCTCAACCTCATACCGTATACATCAGGCTCGTAGCCAGGATTTTGATTTGGGGGGTGCTGAATTTGATTGGGGGGGGGGCTGAGGATCTACCCTAGCAAACCTTTTGTATTGTTATCCCAATAGCCCCATATATATTGAGTATGGTGATCAGATCATGATATGAATAAACATAACAGTTTAAATAATGGACCAGTAAGGCCTTCTCGTGGACCACCCTGAGAATTTCGGGGGTGGGGGGGGGTGGGGGTGGCTGAAGCCCCTCAAGTCCCTTTCCCCCGGGCTACATGTCTGGTATACATTGACACATGCATGTATCGCAACAATTATTCCTTTTTCTCCCTACATGGGAGTAGTTGCAGCTGCATTTGCAAAATGATCTTTTTCCCAAACCCATTAAATAATTGAAAGCTCAGGTACAATTAGCTTTCTACACACTGTTATCTCACTGGACAAGAATGACTTCTGATGCATGACACTCTGCTGAAAGTGCTGCAGACTGCATGAAATGCAACAAAGGCGGCTGGTTGAAAAACTGAAAAAAGGCTTTGGGATTTGTTCATTGTGACTTCACTGTAGGAGTAAAGGAGATGGTCAATTGTGTCAACCTAAAGCTTATGCATGTAAAGGGAAAACACAGCTTAATTTTAGTATTCCACTGAACAATAACTAATCCAATGCTTCCCCTTTGAATTGCAACCTGTATATACGAAGTCACTTTTTTTGAGGGGGTGGAGGGAACTGATTCAAGAAAAATGAATCAGAGATCCTTTGCCAATATCCTAGACAAGATGTATGTGTTAATTTATGCAGATGAGCTAATACTTTATATGCACAGCAATCTGCTGCAATCTGTTTAATGCATGTGTGTATGTGTATACAGTATATACAAGAAAGGTGGAAGGGGATAGGTTTTGTTTAAGGCTTAGTGTCCCTGTCTTGGTACCATTAAATTAGGCAATTAATAATAGCTCAGTAAATCAAAGCTTAGCGCACAGGTCATGTTGGAATGGCAATTGCTGTTGGAGGTAGGCATATTATCATTGTCTTTTGATAGATAAATCCGTTAGACTCATTCATATACTAATACATCAAGGGCTGCCAATGTATTCTGTGCCCAATGTAGCTTAAGGACTTGGAAGAACAAACAAACGAAATGGTAATTGCAGGAATACAGTTGTGACTGAGGGTGGATGATCAGTCTAAAAAATATGAATGGCTTGATGTGTATGCAGTCATTTGAAAAAGTAGTATACTATACTAGGACTTCCTTGGAATGACTGGAAAAAGCTAAAAAGACATTGAGGAATGCAGTAGTGCCCTTGAGTCCAAATGGGAAGAAGGAATTTCTTCCGATGCTCAGTGCATTTCTGATGGGAAACACTATAATAATGTTTTTGAACTGCTAGGTTAGCAGGAGCTAGGGTTAACAGTGGGAGCTCACCCCGTCCCATGGATTTGAACTGCCAACTTTGAGGTCAGCAGTTAAGCAGCACAAGGACTGAACTCATTGCGCCACCATGGTCCCTCTTACTTCAAAACACTATAGGGTTTTGAAATAAGAGAATGCACAAAAAAGTATAGTCTTACTACAAAAGAAACAAAACTTCAATTCCTGAGTATACTAAAGTTATTTAATACTGGAAGAATTTGGGAAGGCAAACTCCTTTATTGTACTGTATTAGGATTCTGGGACATATTTCCTTAATTGAAATGCCTTTATTATTATTTTTATTATTATTATTATTATTATTATTATTATTATTATTATTATTATTAACTTTATTTGTACCCCGCTAACATCTCCTGAAGGACTCGGTGTGGCTTACAAAGGCCAAGGCCCTCAATAAAACAACAGCATAACAAATATAACATAAAACTCATAAAGAAACCAATAAACATAAAGCAATAACAGTAAAACATTAAAACAATACATCATGACACATTTAAAACTAAGGGCCGGGCCAAATGTAATGAAATTAAAATTAAAAGTGCTGGACATGACAGGTGAAATGTAAGGATTTAAGGGTAGGTGCGATGTGCAGGCAATCTTAAATCTCTAATAAAGTGCGTTTGGGACATGATGCTGGAAGTTTCCTATTCTGGAAAGGCACACTGGAACAGCCACGTCTTCAAGCTCTTTCTAAAGACTGCCAATGTTGGGGCTTGTCTGATGTCCTTGGGGAGAGAGTTCCAGAGTCGGGGGGCTACCACAGAGAAGGCCCTGTCCCTTGTCCCCATGAAACGTGCTTGCGACGCAGGTGGGATTGTGAGCAGGGCCTCTCCAGATGAATGGAGGGATCGTGTGGGTTCACATACGGAGATGTGGTCACGCAGGTAGGCAGGTCCCAAACCGTTTAGGGCTTTGTAGGTAAGCACCTGCACCTTGAATTGGGACCGGAAAATGAACGGCAGCCAGTGGAGCTCCTTAAACAGGAGAGTTGACCTCTCTCTGTAAGGAGCACCAGTTAACAACCTGGCCACCGCCCGTTGGACCAGTTGAAATTTCCAAGCCATTTTCAAGGGCAGCCCCACATAGAGCACATTACAGTAGTCCAATCTAGAGGTGACCAAGGTATGGACAACCCCGGTCAGATCAGCCTTTACGAGGTACGGTCGCAGTTGGCGCACGAGTCTCAATTGTGCAAAAGCCCTCCCGGCCACCGCTGACGCCTGAGCCTCAAGTGTAAGTGATGAATCCAAGAGGACGCCCAAACTGCGGACCCGTGGCTTCAGGGGGAGTGTGTAACCCCGTCCAACACAGGTTGCCACCCTATGCCCCGATCCGGTTTATGATCGACCAGAAGGACCTCT